TATATCACATTTACGCACTGCTGTTACATCTCAAGAGCATTTATTTATATCTACAGTACTCCCATGATTTCTCCAACTTAACCCTACCCCCTCCATATACTTTCTAAGCAGTTCGGAGAACTGGTTGTTGGAAGAAATTTCATTTTGGTTTTTTTTCACTGTATAGGGCTAATCCTGTAAGGAAGGCAGGAAGGCAACATTCTGGTGTTGTTTCTAGCCTAATCTTTATTGCCCTACTTACAGAAACTGCCTCTCAGGTTAACCATTATTACATTGTAACAGCTAAGCCGAAGCGCCCATCGATGTGAGTGAGGTTGAGTTGGCCACGCCCACCTAGTCACATGACTACCAAGCCCTGCCTACCCAGCTGGTCATTAAGGAAGAGAACCGGTTGTTAAATTATTTGAATGCCACCAATGGTCTTACCTCTCTCTCTCTCTCTTTTAACAGAGCATCAGACAAATGATACGGTTGAAAAGCTGGGTAGCACATTATTACATTCTACTTTTGTGGAGAAAGGTGACATTATATTTGTTAAATCCTACTGGCTAGCATGAACAACTCTTGATGCATCCCCATTCTCTGCAAATGCTAGCATAGTTCAGAAAACCTGAAATACAGCTTGAAAATATCCTGCTTCATATGGAAACACAATGCAGAAACTTAAGAAATTGAAGCTTGGAAATCTGAAACCTAATGGCAGAACTACAGAAAGTGCAAAAATAAGGTGATCATTATGAAGATGTTGATTCAATAATTAGTATGTGGACAAAATTAGTTCATACTTAAATTTGCTCTTTCACTGGTTTTTAAACAAAATGATTAATATCGATCAGTTGTTCAGAATGCCTTTGTTCCCCTGCCTATATTGTTTTATCACTCTGCACTCACATCTCTTCTGGTCAATGGTAAGTTAGGGCAGAAACGTATCTTGGCAGTGATATTCTAGGATTATGCTTCTTGTTCTGATACTGCCATTTAAATAAATGAAAATACAGTATGTCATATTATAGTATCTGCTATTATAAATTGCTATCTGCAGCAGGGTAAAACACGGCTTTAAAAAAAAGAAAGCTATGATGCTTATATTCACAGAAGTCCCCCAGAGATAACACATTCCTCCTTACAATGATCATTGTAATAACCTAGAGATCAGATGACAGGTTTGATATACTTGAAAAGGAGCTAAGAGAGAAAGTAGATAAATAAACTGAAGCAAATCAACTCCAGCTGTGCCTAAGAAAACAAATCATATGCTATCATCCCTGTTCCTCAAGAAGGATTCATTGTTGAAATTAAAACAGATAACAATGGGAGAGGCGAAACAGAGATGATAACTTTCTTATTCTAATTATGTGTTTTGTAATTTCATTAAAGATTTAAATTAAAAAAGCAACAGCACCAAACTTTTAAAACAGTGATAACTGAGGAGGCATCCAAATAGACAGGTATTGCCAGAATAATTCATTTAAGATAAATATACCGATAAATGGAAATTTCACACAACCCTTGAAAAAGCTATATTAAAACACAACTTACTTGTAGAAAATGGTGTCTTTATATCTACATCACTTGTCTCAAATATA